CACACATACGCACGCACGCACGCACGCACACACGCACGCACACATACGCACGCACGCACGCACGCGCACGAGCGCGCACGCATGCACGCACGCACGCACGCACGCACGCGCGCGCGCACGCACACACACACACACATGGACACACTGTTCTTGGCGTCGCGGCCACGCGCGCGGCGGCCATGCCAGATCACGCGGCGTGGGGACCAGGAGCGCACGCAAACACAGACGGACGCGCGCATGCACACGCACACGCACACACCTGTTGGGTAGGCAACTGTGCTCGCGGCATCGGGGTGGAGAGTTCGGCAGGCGAGTGAATTTGTACCCAAGCGGAAGCGGCAGCACCCCCCCCCAACCCCCCCAGTCCGATTTAGTCCCAGCCCTGGCTTCGTCTGACATGCCGACCTCTCAAAGAGCGATCATGCGCGGCGCCCACAGCGAGAGGGTGGACGAGGAGAGATGCGGTGGAGGAGAACGATGAGCTACTCTGACACCTCTTCTCTTCGACACCGTCGTTTTCTCAGCAAAAGTCTTCTACTTGCACTTGTCCAGGCCTGCCGCTGTTCATTGCGATGCGAGTGCTCAGCATCCGTCATGTCTGGCGCTCGCTGTGTGACGTTGCGACTCGAGCCGATTCGCATCGGTGTTAAAAAAGAACAAGAGGGTGACCCAGACATGCGATGTCTTGTTTTCGTTCAATGCAGGGCCTCCTGAAATCCCGACACTTTCCCTAGGGCCGGCTCGTAATCCCTAAGCCGTTCTTTTACGGTCCCGGGCCCCGCCGAGGGTCCCCAGAGGTCAAACACGACGAAACAAATACTTCTTGCTTTTGCTCCACACTCGAAGAAGAGGAAGCAGGCGACACCACCCCACCTACGACCCGCTGGGTCGCAGGTGGGTCATGGGCGGGTTGGTGTCGTGGATGGGTCGTAGGCCTAACTCTCAACATCGCTGGGTCGTAGGTGGGGTGGTGTCGTTTTGTTTCTTGTCCAAACACGTTGGGGGTATGGGAGTTTGCCCTAGTCCTGGGGGTCCGCGGGGTTCGACAATCCGCACCCACACCTACAGCGCCTTCATCGCCTTGCTTTTCCCCATGCCTCCTCCACATAGGTTTGAGTGAGTGCGTGTGTGTGTGTGTGTCTGTCGTTCTTCCTTCACCCTCTTGCTCAACACGCCGCAGGTCTGGGATTCTGCCCCGGTCCTGGCCTCGCCTCGCGCGCAGAACGGCCTGGAGCCCCCGCCCTCTGGCGAGGGATGTCCGCGGGGCGCGCCCGGGCCGTGCTGCTGGGCCCCTGCCGGCGCAGCGGCGCCCCGGCCCCGGGGCGGGGCGCCCGCAGGGGCCTGGCGTCGGCAGAGGCCCCGGCCGGCCGAGTCCGTTTTTCAGGAGGATGATGATGATGAGGAGGAGGAGGAGGAGGAGGAGGAGGAGGAGGAAGAGGAGAACCCCCTCCCCCTCCAACTGATGGTGGTGGTGGTGGTGGCGGGAAACGGGCCCGTCAATGGGTGTGGTTACGCTTGGGTATGGTTTGCGATCTAAGCCGTTGGGGCCGAGACTGATGGGACTGTTTTCCATGGTGGGAAACAGGCTCATCAGAGACGACGGTGTTTTATACGGTGTTTCTTGCTCCCGCGGGGCCCTTTGCCCAGGCCTCGGGGCCGATCAACAACGATTGGGGGCGAAAAGCTGGTCCCGGGGGAAGGGTCGAGGGGTCTGGAGGCCGTGCGTCGAACAGGTCGAGACGCCGGAGGTCTGTGGAGGCAGATAGCTCCCTTCCCTCGGGGGCGGCCAAGAGAGGGGCGATGACGAGGGGGGGTGGATCTCATGGAAGGGGGCAACGATAGTTCCCCAGATTTCATGGCGCCTCTTCTGCTTTCGATACGTCCCCAGCCCCCCCCCCATGGGCCGCGCAGGTGCTGCCGGCCATGATTTGCGCCCCCCCTTCTTGGACGCCCCCCTCTTGGCGGCCCCCGATTCCCACACGCGCTCGCGTTGTAAGACGATCCCGTCGGGAGGTTTGGATGGCGCGTCGCTCCCGCCAGCTCCGGCCGCCACGCTGCGGCGCGACACGCCAGGGCGCCCACGCCCCGAGCCTCTCCCAGCCGCCCGCCCCGCGGAGCGGAGCGACCCGCGATCCACTCGCAGGGCATGGCGTGACGCCGGGGCCGCCGCCGCGACACGCCATCCGTAGCTGAAAGATAGCGTGTCGCGACGTCGGCCTGTTCCTCTACACGGGGAGTGTTCAACAGTTCGCAAAAATGAGCAAGAACTAGTCTGGGGACGAGTGTTCTATGATTTTGGTTCACGTCGGGCATTTTTTGAGTATTTGTAGTTTTTCGCACAAGATCCCCTTGTAGGGGGACAGGCCCGACCTACGGCTATCCCAAGCTTCCTGACCGTAGGCATCCCAGATGGCGTCCGGAGGAAAGGTGCCGATACCGCTACCCTTCCCTCTTTCTGGCGGCCCATTGGGGGGCTCATGGAAGGCCATCGCCGCCACTTCTTGATTCGCTTTCAAATGCGGGTCAGAACGCACCCAGGGAGAGATCCAGCCAGGGAGTAGCTGTATTGGTACCTTTTGGTGGGATCGCGCCGCATCACCGCTGCATCAGCCGTGCAGCGCGATGTGCAGCCTGAACTTCTCCACGCCGAGGTCGCCGATGCGTCGCCGATGCGTCGCCAGTGCATCGCCGATGCATTGGCGATGCGGAGCGATTTTCCACTTCCATCGGTACTCGGACCTCACCCGGGTGGCCTCCACAAAGGCCCTTTCCCAGACGCGATCGCGTCATGAGTTTTACCGGGCGGCGGGGGGCGGGTGGGGCCGTGTGTCAGGGGGGGGTCTCTGGGGCCCACCGCTGGGCCCTGGCATCTCCCTGGATCTCATGATACCCCAGCTCCCCCACCTAGCCTCCTCCTCCTCCTCCTCCTCCTCCTCCGCCTCCTCCTCCTCCTCCTCCTCCGCCGCCTCCTCCTCTTCCTCCTCCTCCGCCTCCTCCTATTACTCCTCCTCCTATTACTCCTCCTCCTCTTCCTCCTCCTTCTCCTCCTCCTCCTCCTCCTCCTCCTCCTCCTCCTCCTCCTTCCAACACGTCCCCCAGCTCCCCCACCCTGGCCGCGCGCGTGCCTCGGGCCATGATCTGCGAAGCCCCTCCTGGGCCCCCCCCCGAAGAAGGAAGGAAGGAGTGGTCGGGCGGGCGAATGACAGCCTCCGGGGACCCTGGCGGAGGCCCCAGGAGGCCGAAAACGACGAAGAGCATCCGTGCCGCTGTGGTTGAAGGCGCCGTTCGCCCCTCACCTCGACCGAGACGCCCGCCCAGACGTCAGGGGCAATGCTAGGGGGGGGGGGGGCTCGCGGGGGGGGGGAACGCATCGACCCCCCGTCGCCCGCTACACTTTGTGCATTCCTAACTATCCGAAGGTTCTTTGCCAAGCTCCTTTCATTTCTAATTGTTCTATCCTGGGCCCCTTCGTTGCCACTAGGGGGCCAGGAACACTTCGAAACGAGCACAATTAGAAATGGGCACGATTAGAAATGAACGACGTGCTCCCGCTGATGAGGGCGCGGTAGCGCACCCCGCCCAGGACTGTGCGGATCCGCTGTCGGGGGCCCACCGCCGATCTATGGGCGGCGTGCCGCCGGACTCCGAAGGCCCACGCCTCACCCCCGGACTCTGGACGCCCGAAAGGGGTACCGAAAGAGTGGGTACAATGCCCAACAGCAGTTCCTGTTCATTTTGAACAGGCCTCGCTGTCCACGCCGCCGCGGCCTGTGTCCATTCGAGACAGGAGGCCGCCTGCCCAACAGCGGCCGCTGTTGGTTTGGGACAACACTTGTTGTTGGGCATCGTACCCATTTTTTCGGTACCCATGTCGGGCGTCCAAACGGACGGCAGACAGGCCCGCCCCGGCGAGCAAGGTCCTTCGGGCGGGGCTATAGGACTGGGATAAGTCGCCCCAGAGTTACGTCGGGCCGGTCCCTCTACCAAAAAAAGTCTGGGGACGATTTCTTGATTATGTTTGAGCATTTTTGGAGTATTGTTTGAATATGTTTTATTGAATCGCTTCGCTCATTCCGCCGGCCCATTTCGCATGACTGAGCCTCTTGGGGCGGCTGGGGGGCCTCTTCCGCGTCGCTTGGGGGCCTCCTGAGGGCCTCTTGAGGGCTTTGGGGGCCTCTCAGGGGCCTCTTGAGGCCTCCTGGGGGCTTCTTAAGGCCGAGGGCTCGAAGTTTTGTTTTGTGTTCCCCCTTTGGGGCATCGCTTGGGGCCCTCTTGGGCCGTCTTGGATGCCTCTGGGGCCGTCTTGGAGCCCTCTTGGGCCATCTTGGGGCATTCTTGGGAGCTTCTTGAGCCCTCTTGGGGCGATCTTGGGGGCCTCTTGGGCCGTCTTGGGGCGTCGGGAAGCCGAAAAGATGGGCACGCCAAATTCTGCCCAAAACCTAAGGAAAAGTAATGAATTTTGCCTCTTGGGGCCCTCTGGGGAGTGCTCTTGGAGGCCTCTTGGGGCGTCTGGGGGCCATCTTGGGCGTCTTGGAGCGATCGTGTGGCATCTCGGAGCACTCTTGAACCATCTTGGAGGGCTCTTGGCGGCCTCGTGGCCCTTCTTGGGGCTCTCTGGAGGGCCACGGGGGCGGCGCCCAGGAGGAAAACCATCTCTGACCCGACCCTGCCGGGGATCGCCCGGGGTACTTTTCGTCCGGGGACCCCCAGGGGCCGCCCCGCCCCGCGCGAAGTATTATTTAGCAGTTACCGGAGATCTTAGCACGCCTCTGGCCCGTTGGGCCGGCGAATTTTTCGTCCAAAATCCCCCTGTAGGGGGACAGGCCCGACCTAACTATAGGACTGGGATGAGTCGCCCCAGAGCATTCCGGAAGGCTCTCGCGTTCCAGAGCGTGCTCGAAGGGCCACGGCGCCCGACCCATCCTCCAGGTCCGCTGGATCACAGAGGCCCCCGATGTGGTCCGGTCTGGTTGCGTCTCGGCTCTGGCTTCGCCTTGCAAGGGCAAGCGTAGGAGGAAGGGGGGGCGACAAGAAGGACAAGAAGGGGGCGAGGGAAAAGGACACAGACGGCAGGAGGAGGGCGCGAGTTTGGGAGGGCTTGTGCCGGAGCAGCGCAGGGGCGGACACCGCGCGAAGGTCGACGGGCGCCTCCTCCTCCTCCTCCTCCTCCTCCTCCTCCTCCTCCTCCTCCTCTTCCTACTCCTCCCTCTCCTCCTCCTCCTCCTCCTCCTCCTCCTCCTCCTCCTCCTCTTCCTCCTCCTCCTCCTCCTCCTCCTCCTCCTTCTCCTCCTCCTCCTCTTCCTGCTCCTCCTCCTCCTCCTCTTCCTACTCCTCCCTCTCCTCTCCTCCTCCTCCTCCTCCTCCTCCTTCTCCTCCTCCTCCTCCTCCTCCTCCTCCTCCTCCTCCTCCTTCTCCTCCTCCTCCTCCTCCTCCTCCTCCTCCTCCTCCTCCTCCTCCTCCTCTTCCGCCGCCGCCGCCGCCGCCGCCGCCGCCGCCTCCGCCTCCGCCTCCGCCTCAGCCTCCGCCTCCGCCTCCTCCTCGGCGGACCTCCGAAGTCAGGGTGGGCTTTTCGAGAAGTGCCCGCACCCCCACCCTCTCCCTGCGCTGCAGGGGGAGCCGATTGGAGGAGCGCAGCGCCCGTGCGGCCGAGGAGCGCAACAGAGCGGGACGACCGACTCGAGGCGCGCCGTGGCCGAAGTGATTGCGGCTGCGAGTGCAGCCAGGGGGTGGCGCGAGGGCGCGGCGGTAGCCGCGCTCCGCGGGGTGCGCTGCCCGAAGGTCGTCGAGCTCGGGAGGGGCCGCGAGCACGAGCGACACGCAGCCACTGCGAGCCCGTCGGGGGGTGCTCCTCCCCCCCTGCTCCCCGCCCAGAGGCACGGTGTACCTCTTCGGCAGGAGCTCGCCGAGGGGTTCCCCCCACGGGGGCGTGCCACGGACACCGCCGTGCGTTGCATCCTCGGAGGGGGCCTCGCGTGCCCCCCGCGGCAGTGGCGTCTGCTCTCGTGCCCGACGCGGGCTCGGCGCGGCCTCGACGCGGACGTGGCATGGATTCTACACGGGGTCGACGCGGATTCGCCACGGATGCGACGAGGTCGACGTGGATTCGACACGGATTCGACACGGACAGGGCCGCGACGGGACAGACAAGGCCCCCCGAGGATGTAACATTATCCCAGTGCGACCCTACCTAGGAGTTGGAGCCCCTAGGAAAGCAGCATTAGTAGTAACAGTAAAGCTAAGTTAAAGCTAAGCTGAAGCTAAGCTGAAGCAAAGCTACATCTGAGCTAAAGTTAAGCTAAAGCTAAGCTACGGCTAAGCTAAAGCGAAGCTACAGCTAAGCTACAGCTAAGCTAAAGCTAAGCTAAAGCTAAGCTGAAGCTAAGCTAAAGCTAAAGCTCCCAGGGGACTGGGGGAACCGCTCCCAGGGGACTGGGGGAACCGCCCGGGGCGGGCAACACTGCCCGGCCCCTTTAAGTTAAGATAGAGGGTAAGAACCCTTCTAGGCAGAGCCTAGGTAGGGAATAAACCGCGTTTCCATCCCCCACGGACCCTAGCAAATCATGGGAGCCTGGTATACCCTCTCAAGTGCGTCTTTCGTGCCGATTACCGCCGACCAGCGTCTGGGAGTCGATGAGATGTGCCGGTGCCGCGTCGATTTAGCGTCGATTTAGTGTCGACGAGCGTCGATTCGCAGGAGCCGACAAGATGGTATGGGAGGTCCCCACGAGTTGCCACCGATCCCCTCTGCGTGCTGCCCTTGGGCCTTCGGCCCTCTCTCGGCCGGGAGGCGCCCCTGCGGGAGCGGCTGGCTGCCGTGCAGGCCGCCGTCCAGCGTGCCTCCAGCGCCGCGTCCGCGCGGCCAGTGCGGCTGGCGGCTACGCGCAAGAGTTCTAGACGCTCAGCGTAACCCCACCAGCCCATCCAGAAACGGTGCCCAGAGGCACTGCCTCGATCAGGGAAGTGGCCAGCACACAGAGGAAGGGCCCCCCAGTGGAGGCCTCTTGGAGCGTCTTGGGGGTCTCGTGGCGGTCCCGGACGCCTCTGAGAGCGTCTTGGGTGCCTCGGAGAGCTTCGTGGGGCCTCTTGGGGGTCTCTTGGGAGCCTCTTGGATGCCTCTTGGGCGCCTGTTGGGGCCTCCTGGGGCCTCCTGGGCGCCTCTTGATGCCCACTTGAAGCGCTCTCGGGAGCCTTTGGAGCGCTCTTGGGGCCATCTAGGAGGACATCGATCAAACAAGAGGGGAGCATAAATTAGCGTTGCCCCTCGGGAGCCCAAAAGAGTCGCTTCTTGGGGCGCTCCTGGGGCGCTCTTGGAGCGCTCTTGGGCGCTCTTGGGGCCGTCTTGGGGCTCCCTTGAGCCTCTCTTGGAGCCCTCTTGGGCCATCTTGGAGCCATGTTGAGGCCTCGGATGGCCATTGGAAGCGGAAAGGCGAGAAAGCCAAACACATTGTAGTACCCAAGATTTTGGAAGGATTTCTTTGGCCACTTGGAGCCGACTTGGAGCGGTCTTGGGGTCTCTTGGAGTTATCTTGAGGCATCTTGGGGTACATTGAGCCATCTTGGAGGTCGTCTTGGGTTCTCCCAGGCGCTCTTGGAGTCATCTTGATCAGTGCCCCTTCCCCAGGAGGCCAAAATGTGGCCAAAACCTCTTGTGGCCTCTTGAGGGTCTCTTGGGAGCCTCTTGGGGGTATCCTGGGGGCCTCTTGGGGACTTCTTGCGGCCTCCTGGCCACCTCTTGGGGCCCTCTTGGGGCACCCTTGGGAGCCTTGGGGGCGCTCTTGGGGCCATGTCGGAGGAGATCGATCAAAGAAGGGGGGTCCCACTGTTAGCCCCTCCCCCAAGAGGCCAAAATGGGGCCAAAGCCTTAGTTAGACAAATGAGTTTGGCTTCCTCGCCGAGGCCGTTTTGGACGCTCCAACTACCCGCGAGATTCCCCGTCCAGGTCCAGGGGAGGGGGTAGGGGGAGGGGTCAAGATACCCTCTCCGCACGCAAGCCGTCTAGCTCATTCCTACCCGCTCTCCCACTAAATAAGTTGCATCCGAGTCTCGGCATAGCCAGGGGTCGCCACTGGATGTACAGCCATTGGGAACTAAAGCGGACGCCAGGTGCGCGACGCTCGCCGCGGGTTCCACATGCGGTTGGTGTGCTATCCATGTAAAAAAAACGTGATGCCCCCCCCGCCCGCATGGTCCAGATGCTGATGTGGGGGGGCGTCAGCATTGTTGTGGGCCTGCGCACAGCAAGCATCATCATGCGGGCACCACCGCCGTCCCTGTCAAAAAACAATGCAACGTGATCGTGGGTGGCCAGCACACGACACCCACGACGTTGTCGCAACGTGCATTTGCATTGTTTTTGACACGAATGGTGGTCCTGCACAAAGCGGCTTCACTAAGGGTGCCCCGCTATCCCTGCCAAAGAACAATACCACGTGCTCACAGGGCGCCAGCGCACTGTCCAGATTTTGTTGCAATGTGCACTTCGTATTATTTTTGACAGGGATTGTGGAGGGTGTTGGCAGGGTGGTCCCCGCAATGTGCATCTTGTATTGCTTGTTGATAGGGATGATGGGGGAGGAGCCCGCATGGTTCCGAGTTGGCTGCCGGCCAGGTGGGGGAGGGGGTGTCCATTCATAGGGAACAGTGATGAACCCTTCCCCGAAGGGGAAGAGGGAGGGGTGGAAGAGGAAGCTCCCTAAACCACCTTAAGGGCTGATGGGATTCTAGGCCTCCCAGGCGGGGTCGGAGTAGATGGGGTCGGAGGATCGCGCTGCATCGCCGATGCATCGCCGATTCGGCCTGACGAGGAACCCGATGAGCTTCACGTCGACGTCGCCGATGCGTCGCCGACCTCGCCGATGGATCGCCAATGCATCGGCGATACATCGGCGATGCATCGGCGATGCGGCGCGATCCTCCGACCCCATCTATTCGGACCCCATCTGGGAGCCTCTAAGAATGACCCTGCCACGGGGTGACCACTGGCTTTCGGGCGTCCTTCCGTCGGTTGCCGCACCCCGCTCGGGCGTCGGACCTCGAGGTTTCCTGGAGGTTCGGCTCGTTCCCGGAGGTTCTCCAGCCTCGGGGTGCCTCCGGGCAGCTGCGCCTCGCTCCGGGAGTGCCCGAAGCGTCCCGAGCGGCCGCCGGAGACCCCCGAGCTGCGGCCCGCCCGCGGAGCGGCCCGTCGCCGGAGGGACCTTTTTGGTTTGCGGTTCTGTGGGGGGCGGGTCGGACCGAGCCCAGTCACGCGGGCCGTCACCGCCACATCGCACGCAACGACCAGCAAGCCGTGCGCCAGAGGTCAATTGGCGCCCCAGGGCCACCTTTGCGCCCACAGAGGCTGGTTGCGGTGAGCAAGACGAAGCCGGTGGAGCTCCTGCGGGAGGCGTACGACGCCGGTCAGAGGTGTTTCGGTGAGAACTACGTGCAGGAGCTCGTGGACAAGGCTCCGCTGATGCCAAGCGACACGCAGTGGCACTTCGTGGGGCGCCTGCAGAGCAACAAGGTCAGGGCGCTCGTGCAGGGCTGCCCGTCCCTGGCGTGCCTGGAGACGGTGAGCAGCGAGAAGCTGGCGAGGGCGGTGGACAAGGCGTGGCTCGCCGCGGGCGCCGCCAGGAGGCTGCCCGTGATGGTCCAGGTGAACTCCAGTGGCGAGGTGCAGAAGAACGGCGTGCCCCCGGACGAGGTCTCACAGCTGTGCGTTCTGATCTCTCGCGAGCTGCGTGGCCTGGAGCTCGCCGGGCTCATGACCATCGGGGCCCCGGACTACAGCGGCTGCCGCACCGAGGATTTCGAGACACTGCGCACATGTCGCGCGCAGGCCGCTGCCGCACTTGGCGTAGAGGAGGCCGCGCTGGAGCTCAGCATGGGCATGAGCAGCGATTACGAGAATGCCATCCTGGAAGGCTCGACTTCTGTGCGGGTCGGCTCCCAGATCTTCGGCGCCCGAGACTACGCATCCAAACCGTGAGGGGCACAGCGCGCAGCAAAACCACGGAGAAGGAGCGGCGACGACGATGACGGCGTCACGAGGGCGGCGATCACACAAGCAGATGCGGCATCCCAAGGGCATTCGTCACGAGAGGCCTTGAGTCGCCCCCCCCCTACCGTTCACCCGTAGATACGCCGACCTCGGCCACCATTCGCCGAGCAGGTCTTCCCCCCGCTTGGGTTTCGATGGTTTTGCTGTGGAAGGCGTGGCGCTCCCGCACCAAAAATCCATGGACGTCCTGGGGTCTCAGGGTTGGGTTTCTGGTGGAAGGTCTCTTGTGGACTGGCCTCCACTGCACATTTTCCAGAGCTGCCGCATCTCGGAGATCCTCGATTTGCCCTGGTCCGATGGTGTCCCGGTCATGGCTCCGTCTTGGGAAGCAGCGCCCCCAAGCGCCCATCCATCGCCCGCGACTCGCGGCTTGGACCCCTCACCCCGCCCAGGGGCACGCTGCTTCGCTATCAGGCTATCCAGAGCCTATCGTCGAGCTATCGGTGATGCATCGCCGATGCAAACTCGGCATCTCCGCCCCTGAGCCAGCCTCCCCTATACCCATTAGTATGTGAAAGCAATCGTTTCTGGATTCTCGGATTCCAGTCTACGTTAGGCGCCTTCCTACTGCAAGAGCCGAGCGGCTTCCCCCTTCCCTCCCGTTCCAGGGGCGGGCGGGAACCGAATGTATGTTCAAGTCCTTCCTACTTCATGTGTCCGCCTACTTCTTCGGACCGATGGGTATCGAGAGCCAGTCGCCGATCTGTTGGCGATGCATCGCCGATTCAAGCTCGACGCTTCCCCCCCTGAGCCAGTTCCCCCACATTCGGAGTCAGGTCGGACCGAAGGGGGGATACGGAAAGGATGGCTTGTGTACGAAATCTGTTGTGTGCAGCTGGTTTCGCCCGCGCCGCTGGGCGCCTTCCTCGGTACGCGGGCGCCTCTGGCACCAGCAGGCGCCCTCGAAAGTCAGCTACGTGAGCTGATTCGGTAGCCCCCCCCCCTTACTGACATCCCCTTTCGTCCGACCTGACGTCACCCCTCGACCTAGAAATCCCAATCCGATGTTTTGATTTCTCCCATACGGAGTCCCCAGAAGTCGGGACCCGTTCCCCAGGGCCAGCCTGTCGTCCCGAGTCGTTGCTTGACAGCCCGGGGGCCTGGCGAGGGCCCCAGAGGCCGAAAACGATGAGAGCATCCATGCCGATGTCGTTCGCGACGCTGGATGTCTTGGCATCTCTCACCCCCTCGCCTCACCGAGACGCCCGCCCAGACGTCAGGGGACACGCCAGGGGAACATGGGCGCAGGGCGGGATGCCTCGACCCCTGACCGCCCGTGGATCGCCGATGGGGGGGGGGCCCAACAGCGCACCCCGCCCAGAACTGCGCGGCGTGCGGCCCCGCTATCGGGGGCCCACCGCCCAGCTGTCGGCGGAGGAAGGAGGAGGAGAAGGCGGAGGAGGAGGCGGAGGAGGAGGAGGAGGAGGAGGAGGAGGAGGTGGAGGTGGATGAGGTGGAGGAGGAGGAGGAGGAGGAGGAGGAGGAGGAGGAGGAGAAGGAGGAGGAGGAGGAGGAGGACGACGACGAGGAGGAGGACGCGTCACCGAATCTCGGGGCCATGCTTCCTCCCCTGAGATCCGGTGCCCCCCCTGACGTTGCCCTCCGCAGACGTCCCGCGGGCCCACCCCGGCGAGCAGGGTTCGTCGGGCTCGTTGTAAGTCGGGCCCGTCCCCTCTACAGGAGAAAAATTCAAAAATAGTAAACAACATAGTTTTCGGGCGAAGAGAATTATGCACATGCACCGATGCTGGCAAGGACCATCCTTGACCAATGATCGGTGCATATGCCTTCCTGGCCAAGGTAGGAGGGCGTATGCACCGATCCTGGGCTCAGGATGGGCCTGGCCAGACTCGGTGTATGTGCATAGTTTTTTTCCTTTAAGTTTGAGGACGATTTATCTTTTATTGAATCGCTTCGCTCATTCCGCCGGCCCGTGATATGGCATCGCTGGTTTTTGTCTGTGTGTTCGTTGCCCATGTTGCGCTCTTGGGGGCGGGTGTCGTTCGGACGCGTTGCGTGGGGAGTTTTGATGGTGAAGCAGTTCCCTGGGGGTCGTCTCTCGATGGGGCGAAATAGAGTCGTCGTCAAGATGCTTCTTTGGGGGGCCTCTTGGGGTCTGTTGAGAGGCCGTTCGGGGGCGCCTGGGAGACATGTTTGAAGCCTTCTGGGGCTTCTTTTGGGCCTCCTGGGAGTCTCCTGGGGCCTCTTGGCGACATCTTGGGGCCTCTTGGAGGCCTCTTGGGGCCTCTTTGGGACCTCCTGGGCGCCTTCTGGGACGGAGGGCTCCATTTTTGAGTTCTCGGTATCCCTCCTGAGTCCCTCTTGGGCCCGTCTTGGGGCCTCTTGGTCCGTCTTGGGCGGCACTTGGGCCGTCTTGAGGGCTCTCTTGGGTCGTTTCGGCGCCGTCTTGGGAGCTTCGTGGGCCGTCTTGGAGCGGTCTTGGGGGCCTCTTGGGCCGTCTTGGAGCGTCCGGAAGCCGAAAAAGCCAGAACACAAAAAACATAGAAAAAACCAATGAAAATCAACGATTTTGGCCTCTTGGGGCTCTCTTCGGAGGCCTCTTGGAAGGCTCTTGGGGCGTCTTGGAGGCCTCTTGGGCTGTCTTGGGGGCCTTTTGGGCCGTCTTGGGGTCATCTTCGGCGTCTTCGAGCGCTCTTTGGGCGTCTCGGGGGCCTCTTGGGCAGTCTTGGGGGCCTCTTGGGGCACTCTGAGCGCGCTCTGGGGAGCCTGAGAGGCCGCACCCAGAAGGAAAACCATCTCTGAGTAGAGTCGGGCGGTGGTCGGGCGGCGGTCGGGCGGCGGTCGGGCGGCGACCGGGCGGCGACCGGGCGTTGGTCGGGGTACTTTTCGCCGGGGGACCCCCAGGGGCCGCCCCGCGCGCGCGAACTAGAAATACTGTTAATACTGTTAACCAGTTACCGGAGATCTTAGCACGCCCTGGCCCGTTGGGCCGGCGAATTGTTTTTTCCTTTAAGTTTGAAGACGATTTATCTTTTATTGTTGCTGCTATTCTTGAATATGTTTGACTGTTGTCCAATTTTCGCCCAACATCCGCCTGTAGGATGACATGCCCGACCTAAGGCTCGTTCCAGCGCGTTCGGGAACGCTCTCAGAGCGTTCCCGAACGCTCTGAGAAGGCCGCGGCGCCCGATACGTTTTCCCGAACCACCAGGTCTCAGAGGTCCCCGATGTGTTTCCGGGTCCGATGTTGGGCCGGTCCAGGCTTCGTCTTCGGAAGCATCGCCCCGCAATCGCCCCTTCACCGCCAACCGGGGCTCGGGTTCCACACCCCGCCTTGGGTCGTGCATCGCCGATTCAAGTTCGGCTTCCCCCAATGGGCCAGTTGGTCCCCATGGTCATCAGTGATGTCGGGCAGGTGTTTTTCGATGCTCACATGCCAGTCCGCTCTGGCGCCGTCCTGCCCCAAGGGCCGAGCCGCCTCCCCCTGCCCTCCCCATTCAGAAGGGGCGGGCGGGCAACCACTGCACTTCCAACGCCCTCCTGCTCAGTGCCTCGACCCACTTCTTCCAATCGATGGGCATCGAGCGCCTGCCGTCGACTCGGGCTCGGCGGTGCCCCTGCCCCTGTCCCTCACAGACGGCAGGTGCAGCAGGTTCGTGTGGTTCCGACGCGGCGGCGACCGCGCAGCGGGCGTTCAAGGTTGAATGCTGCCAGTGGCCCAGAGTCGGCCAGTACGGAGCGATCTGATGAGCGAAAATGGCCGCCGATCGTTGCAGATGGAACGGTCCTCGCGGTGTCAGAGCTCGAGGGCGGGGTCGTCACGACGCGAACCCGCGGCATGACCCGCCCCGACGTCCGCACTCCGTAAGCAGCGTCGACCCCCCAAAGTGGGCTCGACCCCTTCCCCGGGGCCATGTCCTCCTCCCGAGCCGTTTCGGCACGGCCCCGGGGGCCCGGCGAGGGCCTCCCAGAGGCCGCCCGTCGCGGAGAGCCGCCCAGTCCGTGGTTTTCGTTCCGCGACCCGAGGGGGGGGACTGGGCCCAGGCGGCTGGCAGGCCCGCCCCGGCGAGCGGGGCCCGCCCCCCCGCTCGGGCATCGCTTGAAGAAGAGGGGGGGGGAGGGGGGGGGGGAGGGGAGGGGGGAGGAAGGGGAGGGGGGGGAAAAAGGGGGGGGGGGGGGGGGGGCGATGCGTGTGGGGGGGGCAGCGAGGGTTGCAGAAGTCAGGGGCCCCTGGAGGGGCCCCCAAAGGGCCCCCGAGGGGGCTATCAGGGCCCGAAGAGTGTGCTCGGTTCTCTGCCTCGGCCTGCGGCCATCTCCGCCTCCATCTTGGGAGGGGGAGGAGGAGAAGGAGGAGGAGGAGGAGGAGGAGGAGGAGGAGGAGGAGGATTAGGATTAGGAGGATTAGGATTAGGAGGAGGAGGAGGAGGACGAGGATGAGGAGGAGGAGGAGGAGGAACAGAGGGAGGGAGGGAGGGAGGGAGGGAGGACGAGGAGGACGAGGAGGAGGAGGAGGAGGAGGAGGAGGAGGAGGAGGAAGAGGAGGGAGGAGGACGATGGAGGTGCCCATTTTGTATCCCCCCCCTTCGGCGACGCTCAACCCGCCGCGGGGCGCGGCCCCCTGGCGAGAGCCGCCCGGTGGCCTCCCTCGCGGGCGGCCCGCACCCCGAAGGCGCGCGCAGCCGCCGGCTCCGAGCGTCCGGGGGGTGGCCCGCGGCGGGGCGGCCCCGCCCCCCGCCCCCCTGCGACGCAGGCGGGCGAGCGCGGGGCGGAGGATCCGAGGAGGAGAAGGCACCCATGCCAGTGCCCCTCGCCCCACTTCCGCCCTCCTTGGGCCTCCTGGGAGGCCCTCGCCGCCACCGCCGGGTTCCCCTCGAGGTCCTGGTCAGAACGCACACGCCGGGGAGAGGTCCGGGGAGCAGTATTATAGCATCGGTGCCTTCTTCGCCTCCCCGGAGGGAGGCTCGGCAGCAGCGGGCGGGGCTCGCAGCAGCGAGCGGGGG